TCATGGTTCAATCATCAATTGGATCAAAAATGAATGGAGTTTAATAATTTAAAATAAATCTTCAACTGAGATTAAAGTATAAATTAACTTTAAAAGACTTAAAATGATCCCCACCATTCACATAATTAAATATGAACCAAAATGATTAAGTATGGGCTAGTCAAATAAGTCCCAAAAATTAAATTTATATCTCCTTTATTACTCAAGACCCAAGAATCACTATAACTAAAACTAAAAAAAATTTGCCAATCGGCCCTTACGAAGTCGAAATCAAGAAGTAATATAATTTATTTTCACCAATTTAAATAGAATGGTCCACGGCACCACAACTATAATAATAATAATAATAATAATAACTACACAATCAAATGATTTGGCAATTCATACCAATCCAACTCCAATCAATACCCATGCCCACAAACATATTTAAATAAAAAATTACTAAACAGATATTGAAAAGAATGATAAATAAATAAATTCAATTTGATTCAACTCGTAGCAGTTGCGTTGACTTAGAAGTATAATAGAAAATAATAGAACATGGGAGAGTCATTTGCAATTCACACTTAGCAATGATGATAGATTTTAGAAGTGGAACACGAACTGATTTTTCTTTATTTATTTGGATTATTTCTCTCCTAATATGGTTTAATGAAAATGTGATTTATATGTTACAATTGTTAATTCATTCCATTTTATTGTATTAAAATATAATGTAACAGAAAAAAGTACAACAAAAATTTAATCAAATATTTTTGTAAGCTTTTAATGGGAATGCATTATGTAATTTTTCTTATGCTTATTTCATGAATATGTTAGTAATGATAATTACTCAAATTGAAGACTTAATGCTTCAAACTGAAGATGTAATCTGTGATAGGGGATCCATATTTAGGTTGTAATTTCAAAAAGTTTGATCCCATAGTCAACAAAACTAGTGTGAATTGTGTAACAACCCCAACCTATGAGTAGTCTATAATCCACGATTAAGAGTGCCTAATTAGTAATTAAGAAGAAATTATGAATTAATTGCATGTGTGTTGTTTCATTTGTGTTTATATTTGTTTGTTGTAGGAACATCTATCTTTGTTTCTGTTTCATTATGCGAATTGAAGGCCTTATCAGCATCTGATCACGAAATTGACTTGGTTTATGTGTCAATTGGAATTTTTAGAATTTTACGATAGGTTTAATTGAAATTCAATTCGGAACGAATTAATAAGGATAATTAGTGTCAATTTGATTAGCTTAAGCCAAGTTTAATTAAGTCTCCTTAATTAAGCCTATATAAAGCATATGAGATCTCTAGAACACATTTTACACCTTCATTTCATCATTTTTGAGCTACAAACGTGTGTTTGTGTGTGTGTGTGTGTGTGTGTGTTTGTGTGTGAGAGAGAGAGAGAGAGAGAGTAAGAAAAAAGAGACCTGAAGAGTGGTGAAATCAATAAGAAAATGGAGGATTGCTAGATTGTTGAAGAGTATAAGAGAATTTGAAGATTAAGCTTCAATACTTGGAATTCAAGGCTTCAAGGTAAGAATTCAAGCTTCTAGTTTGTAATTGAGACACTTAATACATGAATTTAAGAGAGTTAAGTTAATTGATAGAAGAAATGAACCAATGAAGTAGGAAAAGAAGAAGATTGGAGCATGCATGTGTATTCATGGTATTTTTGAAGTTGATTTTAAGCAATTCTTCCATGCATGTCATGTTTTCAACTTAATTTTGAGACTTCATCATGTTTTTCATCAATTTACCTTGCTTGAGTGTGACGTCCCCAAAATACACAATAGATATGACTCAAAATCATACATTGATAATCGCATACATCAGAGTGACAAGTTCTTTCATTACACGTAGTTAAGGATACAAAAGAGTTTAATTTAAATAAATGCCCTATTAGCTTACACCTTTCCAAGTCTTAACTTGGTTACAACAAAAGTGAGCTTCGCTCATTACATCTTAAGCCCTTGGCTTTACAAAATATACAATCAAAAGGTGAAGCACTTGCTTCCGAAAATTTCTCCAATGCCATTGCCTAAGTGGAGGCATGCCGTCATTACCTGAAAAGTTATTCCCAAGTAGGGTGAGCCACAGCCCAGTAGAAATCATCTAACACAGTATATGAAATTTAACAAAGGTATAAGTACAAGTGCACAAACAATGTTCGTAATAACCCTTTTTATAACTTTATAAATCCGTAAAATATTCATTTCAAGTCTTAGTCCGTCTACTTTCAATTCATGTTCCATTCACTTATCTGACCCAATTCATAAGTCTATTTCATTATTTCCCAATAACCAAAATGAGACTATAACTCATAAATTCTAAATCACATTATTAACATGTAAGCACTTTAAACTTTTCTTTTACAGATATTTCGTCCGCGAGTAGCCGTCAACCAGGACCTATGTATTCTTTCACGGATATTTCGTCCACGGGAAGCCGTCAAACGGGACCCATGTAGACGTAGGCTATACAAGCACTACAATTGTCATTTTACGGATATTTCGTCCGTGGGCTAAGCACCCATGTATAATTTCGAGACTTTCACCCAGAACACTCTGGCCAACTTAATTATAATGAAGTCCATCCCCTTTCTCCTCCCAAACAATCATTCATACATATGCAATGTATTTAAACACACACTCAAACAATGGAGTATATCCTCTTTCCACTCCCAAATAATCATACATATACAATGTACATAAATATAGTCATGTTCAATGACAAGCACAAGTGATTAGTTCCAATTCACCTAATCCGCATGCATTTTCTACAGCAATCATAGTTATCCTCCACCGATAGCCCAATACAATTATTTCTAAACAGATATAAAATCTCATAACATATAGTTTATTCGAAACTACCAAAGAATGAAATAGCACATAACCAATCCCACCATTCATATCAATACCCTCTCGATGTCACATTTTCAATGACAATTTCCATTATTTATATAAAATAATAATTAGATTCAATTAGGGTAAAATCTCCCATTTTTCCCAAATATTAGCCAAGTGTCAAATCATCAAATTTTATACAATACAACATCATTTTCAAACCCCTCAAGCATTTATTTCACCTTCACCCAATACCCCTTTTTCCATTTTATGTCCAAACCCTAGGTTTGTTTAAAACCACCCCAAATTACTCCATTGTTACACAAGAGACTATAACTAAGCTAAATACCATATAAAGTGTAGAAAGATCCCTCCCTCAAAAGAAGAAGATGAACCACACAAGAGAGAAACTCCAAGAGTGCTAAAACCCACTTCTATTCGGATCAAAATGTAGATCTTGGCGAGCTCTACCTTTTTCTCAAAGGCACTAGGGTGGAAATCTCAAAAGATCTAGATGAAATCTAAGAGAGAAGGTGAATTGTAGAGAGAGAAGCTCAAGAACAAGCTTTTTGGAAAGTTTTAGAGAGAGAGAGAAAAGAAAAAGTGATTCAAAATGTCATCTTCTCGGATTGAAATACACGCAGTCCGCTCGAGCGTGGAAAGCCCTGCTAGAGTGTCAAACACAAAGTTCCACTCGAGCGTAAAAAGAGGCGCTTGAGCGTGGAATGCACACTTCTAGAAGTTCTGCAGACGAAGGTCCCCGCTCAAGGGTGGAAATGGACGCTCGAGCGTCCAATGCACACTTCTAGTATTTCAAACCTGCAAAAAGAAATACTGAGAGTTAACGAATCCCGCTCGAGCGCAAGAATGGCCGCTCGAGCGAAAGAGCAAAATTGTGAAGCCCGCTTGAGCGTAAGAATGCCCGCTCAAGCAAAAGGCCAAAATATAGGCAATACAAGTTTGGAAAAGGAAGCAACCAACCTGTTCCAAACGCACAATTACAACCCGATAACCAAAAATAGAGGGGAGGCAAGGGAAACAAGATATGAATAATATTTCAAACCCATACAACCCAAGTCTGGAATACACAAGAAATGGGTTAAGAATCGGAATCGCTATATTGAGCATGATTTGAAGGGTTTAAGTTCAAATAAATTGCATGCATGTGTGTGTATCATGAGCTTTGAGTTTGAATTCAACATAATTCACTTGTTTTGGCCTTTGATTTTGCGAAATGATTTCAAATTCGCAATGTTTTACAAGTTTACATATGTCTCCTCAAGCTTTTGGTCCAAAAGATCATGTTTTGTAACATTGAATTTGAGTTTTGGACTTAGAACAGCAATCTGGAAATTTCATAATTCTGCATCTCCGCTCGAGTGACAGAACCTGCACTCGAGCGACCACCCTTACATTTGAACCTTCACTCAAGCAAAGAAGTCTAAGCTCAAGCATAAAATTCATGCTCCCAGAAGTTTACAAGTTTTGTAGACCGCTCGAGGAACAAAAGTTGCGCTCGAGCGAAGACCCTATTTACTCAGTCTTGCGCTCAAGTGACCATCGAGCGAAAAAATCATGCAACCAATACTTTTGCAGAGTTGCAGACCGCTCAAGCAACCGAAGTTGCACTCGAGTGATCACCCTTATTTTTGAACCTTCACTCGAGCAAAGGAAGTTGCGCTCAAGCGAAGACCCTATTTTCAGCAAATTTGACTAAGTGTTTTGAATCACATTTTGGCATCCTCATTGCATCTTAGGCATTCTCGAGCCCTAATTAAGACACAATAATGAGGATAAGACTTAGAAACACACTAAGAATGAAATGAAATAAGTTAAGTACTATCCGAGCGTGTGTTTCAATATGTGTATCAGTAATGTTTGTGTAGGTCACACGCTGTGAGCTGTTGATTAGGGCTGTGCATAATACCGCCAAAACCACTCCAAACCACGAAATTTTTTAATTCTAGCGAGTGGGTTGGGTCCCAGGTCTAGCGGGTCGACACGGGTGGTGGGTGAAATTTTGCCAACCCGTATTTCTAACCAACCCGACCCACTTCTGATGCCAAAAAAAAAATCCTTTGTTGTTGTTACACACATACACAACACAGCAAGACATTTTAGCCATAGATTGCACGCACACACATCTATCACACATATACTAACACACATACAATAATTCCTCAATTAAACCTACTTGACATCTACATTTCATCTCATTCATATCGATTCATCGCCGCTGTCTGTCTCAAACATCTGGTCTCATCCGCTGCCGCTGTCTCCTTCCCTTGTCGATCGGCACCTACTCGTCATTGTCGACTCGTCGCGTCAGTACGTGGCTCTCTCTATCTCCCTCTCGTTGTTCTCTCTTTTGCTGATCGCTCTCTCTTTGCTTTTTTCTTTTCTCTCGCTAATCACTCTCTCTATGTTCTTTACTCTCTATGTTCTTTGTCCCGCTTGTAGCCTCTATATACATATATATATATATTGTTAAATAAAATGATTTAAATTAAAATGCCGTCAGTAGTAATAAAAATACAATGATGCTGCCCAGGAACGAAAAAGGTTACATAACCTCTATATACATACATATATATATAACATCATTGATATTTTATTTTATTTTGGATTCCTTAATTTTTTTTGGATTTCTACATCATTGATATTTATATATAAAAGTAACTCAATGATATTTTGTATTTATATACACTTATCATCATTGATAATTTTTATTTATATGTAAAGTCATATTGATAATTTTTATTTATTTACTAATCACTCATGTAAATTTTTTATGTTGTAATAGAGAATGGATGATGAGGGAAATACAAATGATGGCTGCTTTGCTGGTGGAAACTGTGATAACTCTGTTCCGTATTATGCTAATTGGTCCTTACTATGAATTTGATTATGTGTCTGATATGATTTTGTGTGCCAATTGTGTGAATATATGTGGTTTTGAATTTCTATCTATTCACCATAGGAATATCTGTTTGATTATTTGCTTTGGAATTTAAATTGAAGGCCTTATCGGCCACAGAAACCAAAATTGATTGCGCCATTGTGATTGGAATAATTTTTAGAGCCTACGGTGAAGTTTAATTGAAAAATTGATTCGGACCAGATTAAATTGATTAAATTGATGAATTAGTGCCCAATTATTTATTATTATTAAATTGGTTTAGTGGGACTTTTATAAAAAGGGCAATACACACTCAACACCTCTCTTGGTTTCATTTTTTGGCTAATTTAGCCCTCTAGAGGAAGAGAGAACCGAACTAGAGAGAGAGAGAGTGTAGGAGAATCAAAATTTGGTCTTGAAGGCTTGGAAGTTTGAAGCTACACTCAAGAATTGATCTTGGTTTGGGAGATTAAAGCTCTTAGGTGAGTAATCAACCCTTAATTTATGGGTTTGAGTTGTAATTTTGTGAATTAAAGATTAAATAGTGATCAAGAACATGGAATAAGTTGGTTTTGATGAATTTGAAGTCCATATGTGCATGCATGTAGAGAATTCCTATGAAATTACATAATCTAGCATGTAATATGTGAATTTTGAAAGATTATGAGTTGAATCATACATGCAAGCATGTTTTTGTTGAGTTCCATGGGAATGAACACCATTTGCATCATTTGAAAGAGAAATGAAGTCAAAATTAGCATGCATGTTTGAATATTAAAGATGTGGAGCTTATGTAAGGTTTGAATGCATGAGCCTTGATTATACAAAGGAATGTTGATTAATTTGAAGAAATGGACCATGATTTTGAGCAATTGACCTCATCTTGCTTGTATACTCATGTTATATAATGTATATGCATGTTTTGGAACCAAAAACATGAGTTTTGAACCTTGGAAGGTCGGGTTTGAACTCAAGAACAAATTCTGGAAAACCCAGAATTCATGGTGTTCGCTCGAGCGGGGGAAACCGCCACTCGAACGTGAAATGCGAGCTCCTAAAATATTTTGCAGACATGATATAAGCTCGAGCGGAGAAGTCCACGCTCGAGCAGGGAGCTATATAAGATGGACTTCCGCTCAAGCGTCCAAGTTCCACGCTCGAGCGTAAAAATGACATAACCAGTACTTTTGCAGACCTCATGGGTCCGCTCGAGCGGGTAAGTCCACGCTTGAACGAGGACCCTGTTTCTAAAAATTTTGTGTGATCGTTCTGTGTTTCGTTTTCCGTTCTCTTTCACTTGCAAGCATTCTTAGGCATACATTAAGCATTGTAATTGAGTTAAAGAGATAAGAATGAAGCCTAAAGAGGAATATGTGAATTAAAGAACGGATTGAATCGTTTGTGACCCATATGTGTTATATGATGTGTAGGGTCAAGCTCTAGGGCAAATCCACGAGCCGATCACGGTGAGTAATATCTGATATCTGAAATACGTTGTTGTCCAAATTGCTTACTTCTACGTAAGTTTGATAAGCTCATTGATTCGTTTGGTGGACAATGGTTGTTATACTAAATGAATGGGCCAAAGGCCGTTTTGATAAGAATGAATGAATGGGCCAAAGGCCGTTTTGACATGAATGAATGGGCCGAAGGCCGATTGACATGAATGATTGGGCCGAAGGCCGATTGACATAAATGGTTGGGCCAAAGGCCGTTTTGACACAAATGAAAGTTTGAAAGGCCTAAAGGCCAGTTTGTTATGAAAGTTTGAAAGGCCTAAAGGCCAGTTTGAAACGGAAGTTTGAAAAGGCCAAAGGCTAGTTTGACACGAATAACAGTTTAACACTAATGAATTGGGCCCAAGGCCGTATGATGTGTTTGGAACCGCAGTTACTTAACTTACATATGTCTATGTATGTATGTATTAGTAGAAATATAAATTGGGCCCAAGGCCATTTGGTGTATATTGTTCCAATGTATATTCTTTATTTGATATTGTTCTCTAGGCTTTCGCTCACGCTCATTCATGTGTTTGTAGGTGAGCCAAGAGAAGTCCAAACCCAACCCCAGTGAAGTCTGTATGGAACAACTAAGGTTTTGAAAAGTCAGCCCTTGCGTCTCATGTACGAGACACGTCTTCGCCCTTCTGCCATTCTATGTTATTTTGTCATGTTGGCGAGGACTTTGGTGTACGTCTGTATATAGCTTTGTTTTGGCTGACTTAGATTTGAATGATCCTGTCTGTATAGAACTTTATGTTACTATACTTTCTGTTGTGATTTATTAACATATGTATGTATGGAATGTTATGATGTGCATATAAGCATGGCTCTATGGATAAAGTTTTAAATTGCTTCCGTTTGGCCCCCGTTAACTCTGTTAAAATACGTCTGGTTTGGTTTCAGGCCGTAGGTAATCTCATGATTACTGGCTGGTTATGTCCTTAACCCACGGGGGCGGGTTCAGGTCATGACATTTATGGTTCAAAATATGCTCTTTCTGCTGATGTTGTTTCAAGCTTGGTTGCTTTAAGAAGGGAAGCTTTTGAAGACGAAATACAAGCTGCTAGAAATTGTCTAATACAAATATATAAAGGTCACAAGCCGAGTGTTGATGTAATTAAATCAGTCCATGATAGTGCACTCACAAGAAGATATTTAAGTGAATTTTGTATGGTTTAGAACTCAAGGATAGTTTTTTTTTTTTTTTTTAAGGGGGGGAGGGGATGATTTAGAATGTTTTGGATGGTTTTGAACTTGAGGATAGTTTTTGATGTCCAGAAATATAATTTTTGGACGGTTTTGAATGTAAAGTTTTTGGATATTCAGAACTTATGTATATATATATATATATATATATTTTTAATGTTTGAAATAATATTTTAGTGGTTAATTGATACTTATATATATAGATATATATTAGTGAAGCTTCTCTGCAAATTTTTTTTAGATTATAGAACAAATGAAATAGAACCTACAAATAAAATATATATATATATATATACATAAGTTCTGAATATCCAAAAACTTTACATTCAAAACCGTCCAAAAATTATATTTCTGGACATCAAAAACTATCCTCAAGTTCAAAACCATCCAAAACATTCTAAATCATCCCCTCCCCCCCTTAAAAAAAAAAAAAAAAACTATCCTTGAGTTCTAAACCATACAAAATTCACTTAAATATCTTCTTGTGAGTGCACTATCATGGACTGATTTAATTACATCAACACTCGGCTTGTGACCTTTATATATTTGTATTAGACAATTTCTAGCAGCTTGTATTTCGTCTTCAAAAGCTTCCCTTCTTAAAGCAACCAAGCTTGAAACAACATCAGCAGAAAGAGCATATTTTGAACCATAAATGTCATGACCTGAACCCGCCCCCGTGGGTTAAGGACATAACCAGCCAGTAATCATGAGATTACCTACGGCCTGAAACCAAACCAGACGTATTTTAACAGAGTTAACGGGGGCCAAACGGAAGCAATTTAAAACTTTATCCATAGAGCCATGCTTATATGCACATCATAACATTCCATACATACATATGTTAATAAATCACAACAGAAAGTATAGTAACATAAAGTTCTATACAGACAGGTTCGTTCAAATCTAAGTCAGCCAAAACAAAGCTATATGTGAACGTACACCAAAGTCCTCGCCAACATGACAAAATAGCATAGAATGGCAGGAGGGTGAAGACGTGTCTCGTGCGTGAGATGCAAGGGCTGACTCTTTAAAACCTTAGTTGTTTCATACAGACTTCACTGGGGCTGGGTTTGGACCTCTCTTGGCTCACATACAAACACATGAATGAACGTGAGCGAACGCCCAGTGAATAATATCAAATAAAGAAAATACATTGGAAAAATATACATCAGACGGCCTTTGGCCTAATTCATATTTCTATCTAGCATATAAATAGATATAGATCATACTGGCCTCTGGCCCATTCATTCTATCATGTCAAACTGGCCTTCGGTCCATTCTAACTTTCATGTCAAACTGGCCTTCGGCCCATTCATTCATTCGTATCAAGCTGGCCTTTGGCCCATTTATACTTTCGTATCAAACTGGCCTTTAGGTCTTTCAAACTTTCATTTGTGTCGAAGCGGCCTTTAGCCCATCCATTCATGTCAAAACGGCCTTTGGCCCATTCATTTAGTATAGCAAACATCGTCCACCAATCGACTAAAATAACCATCAATTATATATATATATATATATATATATATTGTTTTATTTATTTATTTAGGTGAGAAAATAAAAATTTTATTTTCATTATCATATTTGAATGAGTAAGAAAATATAAAAGATATAAATAAGACAGTTAAGTTATTTAAACTCAACTTGTTTTTGATTTGTTAGATTAACTCGTTATGTAAATAAATTAAATCTAAACATATTCTTAAACTCGTTAAATTTTAAATAAAACTTGAAAGACTTGTTGCTCGGCTCGACTTATATTAAGGTAAGCAATTCGTTTGAGATCGGTTCTTTATGTAAATAAATCAAGTTTAAACATAATTTTAAATTTGTTAAGTTTTTAAATCAAATTTTAAACAATTTACTATTCAACGCCACTTGATTCTTTTTCAAGATATAAGTAAGAATTTGATTTTATGTCTCTACATTGTCATGGGCAATCTAGATATTATTAAAATGCACAACTAATCATTTTCATTTCTCATCAAATCTTTAAAATTTTAGTGAACAATTAAATTGACATTATAAGCCAATTTTTATTCTATTCATTTTTTAATCTTTTGTTATAATTTCTCATTTAATTTAAAAACCAAACATGAGAGAATTATTTTTATCATAATTTTTTCATTAATTCACTCAATCTGAACATGCTTAATCACTTTAAAAAAAATTAAATTAAATTATCACTTTATTTGGTGCGATTTATTATAGTCATTTAAAAAAAAAATTGACGCAACATTTACTTATG